TCTTATCCTCAGATCTTTGCAACACAGACAAGATAGAACTGCTCAGAGAGAAAGCATCTCAGTCCTCAACCTTATATGCGGGAAGGACTCCATTGATCCCTCCCAGAGCCTTTGATGAGGAAACCAATACATGTTGTCGCACCGAAGAATCAGACTAACCCCTGGTGGAGAATTGACCTGCAGGGGATTTACAACATTTCCTGCATCTCTATCTATACTAAAAATGAGGCTGTGGCTAATTTAACAGGAGCTCAGATCTACATTGGGAACTCTCTAAAGAACAATGGCACCAACAACAGACTGTAAGTACATTATGCCATCTTCATTGGACATATTTAATATATTCAGACCTAAAAATGAAAATAGTATACCAACATTTTATTCAGCGATTTCTGGGTTTTGTAATTTCTTTGTGCTCTTCTTCTTTTTGTACTATCTTTTATTGATGGTCCTATTTAATGATGTGTTTTATACCACAAATACTTTTAATACTTTTGTAAATAAGAATATTTTCCGGCTTTTAATATATTTTTTTGTGTTCCTTGCCTCACTGCTGCACTGTCATTTACCAACTTTAGATCAATAAAGTATATTCAATCCAATGCAGTCCAGTCCAATGAAATCCAAAAGCCATTTTTCATTAAAAGGCAGTTTTCAAACCTAAAATTCAAACTAAAGCTTTATTTTTTCCTTAGAAACTGGAAGTTAAAATGGATGTGAGAGTATTGTCTGCTTACTGTTTAAAGAACATTTGTAATGCTAAAAACATAACTTTTAAGCATTCTGAAAGTATCAGAAAGTCAAAAGATTTTAATATAACAAATAACTTCATCTGAATGGATTACTTTAATTTCTTCCCAATGTGGTAAATGTAAATTAACTGAATTTGCAGAGTGCCTTTAAGGGAGGACTTCACACTATAGTCAGTAATCAAACTCTTCCAGCACATAATTACACACTGATGGTGGCAAGCTATATTGTAGCCATAGCTGGCCTGGGACACACTGACATAAGCAAAACTAGTGTTCACAGCAGCCACATCTACTGTATCTTTGGTCTCAATAATGTCCAGGAGTTTTCAGGTTCAGCTGTATGTTTTGTTTCTTTCTGTTATTCAGGGTTTATAACATCACAGACTTCCAAACAGACCAGACAAATCACTTCATATTTCCCTCATCAGTGTCGGGACGATATGTCACTGTGATCAGACAAGATCATACACATCTGGTTCTTTGTGAGGTGAAGATCATGGGCACAAAGATAGGTAAGTTTGATTTAATTCTCAACCATAAAGGAAGAAACATAAAACCATTAATAGCTTGAGGCAGTTAAATATCTGACATTTATGTCAAATATATCAATACATTTTTATAATAGATTACACATCTATTACAATTGTATACATTTTTGTTATTTCTTTTTATGACAGTTATTCTTTCAGCTTAATCTTTTTTTTTTCTTCTATAATGCATTTTTCTGTCTACAAATCTTTATCCTGATACATTTTGTAAAATATTTTGCAATAATACAACTAACTATGTCTAAACATTTAAATTCTATGGATAATGCTCTCAGTGGCAGGTCCAATGTTTATAACCCACATTATAGGCAAGGATGTCTTGCTACTTTGGAGCGTTTAATGATGCATCTGACTGCTCCTTGAGTAAAATGATGTAAAAAAG